AAAAAAAAAAAAAAAAAAAAAAAAAGAGGAAAGAAAAGAAGAAGAAGAAGAAGAAGAAGAAGAAGAAGAAGATTGGTTGATGAGATTGATATTCATCCCGAACAATGCTGTATAGCTGATCTACACATCATCAGCAGATCGGCAAGAAAATCCCTTTTTTTTCCAGGTAAAGCTATCCCGAAAGCACGTTAGAGATCAACATTTTCTATGGTTTTGCAGGGTAAAAATAAAAAAGATGAACTGGACCTATAAAGTGCAAAATCTTTAAAAAAAAAGGGAAAGAAAAACTTGAAAAAAAGTAAAAAACAACAAGAAAAGTAGAAAAATCATTGAGAAATTGCGGGGGACAAGGACCATAGCCTCAGGTTGTTCTTCAAGTCTTTCAATTCGGTATGGGCTGTCATTGAACCGGAGAAGCAGATGGACTGACGGACCACGTACTGAATGGTTTCGTGACAACAACAACAACAACAACAACAACAACAAAACCCGAGACCACATACTTCATCTTGAGGGGGTAGGTGAAATCATCAGCAGACTCAGAGGTGAAATACCAACCGCACGCACAATCGCCGTTATAGAATGCTTGCAGATAGGAGCCGATGAAGCGACATAACATTTACAGCAAACTCGAGAATCAACATATTATTAAGAGCAAATGTGAAAATTTTGGGGGCACAGGACTTAGTCTAGCAGACCAATGGATGGGGGCGCCAGGCAAATGAGGTGAGAAAAGTGTATCGGTGGCGGTTCAGCAAAGCTTGGTGCGCAGTGCAAGTCTGCCACGACAAAAAAAAAACAAGTCTCGGATGTACTGGTGCTTTAAACTTTACAAGTTTAAACCACCAGTACACCCGGCCCTGACGAGTCGTGTCGACCTTCCGCCGCGTGACAATCGTTTCCAAACTGCCAGCAGCGCAATTTTTTTTCTTTTTTTCGATGGTGCTGCCAGGCATTCTGGCCCGGCACCCCGCAGAGTGGACAGTAATACGGCTCGTTGGAGGGTTAAAGTCATAGAAAGGTGCATTCTCCGTGAGTTGTGCACATCGTATCGACTACAACCGTGGCACACCTCTGTGCGGAAGGACATACCAAGAAGGCTCATCACTTTGAAAAAGGAACAGTTACTATGGCTGAAAGAGTTCCAAATGGAGTTTTTCTTCACATTCTGAAATGCTTCCCTCGAGTTTTTCTTCACTGTGACAATGTCATTCTGAAAGTGTCCGTCGTGGACGCGAGGGGGTGGTCCTTTTTCTCCTTCCATTTACCAGCATTGGGAGCCCAGGCCTGAGTTATGCAAGTTTGGGGTTTAGGGTTTAGGGGTTTGGCTCAACGGTACGGCTGTGGGCTACAGGGCCCATGAGCCCGGTCTGTCGTTGTAGTTTTTGTGTGGATTTGTTTTGGGAACTTTTGGCTCTTTTTCTCAGTGTGGAGTTTTACGTGTGATCTTTGAACCGGGGACCTGTGAAGTAGTTTGGGTGATTCCCAAGCCTTTGGCTTTGCAGAGCGGTAGATGTGTAGCATAGGTGCTTAGTGGAACCGGTCCGTTGTTGCCATGTGGTTTGGAGTTAATCCCGACGATTTGTACAGATTGATTTCTATTTGTGAGTTAAGGTTTCAAAGCCCTTTAGGGTTTAGGGTTTTCAGGTGCTTTTGAACCTAAGGCTTAACCGTGAACACTAAACCACCTCTCGGTCCGAAAGCGGTGTTCGGTACATAGGCACTGATTGTAACCGTTGCTCTTTTTTCGGACGAATGCCTTTCGCACCAGAAGCTGGGGAGAGGCTGCGCTGGAGGGTCGTCGAATCGATCGGTGGCTCTTGGGTGTTGTGGTATTGTATCGAGGGCT